GCAGTGTTAGAAACTAGAATAAAAGCAAATAAAGCAGAGGAAGCAGTGGCTGAAGTGTTTGCAGGGTGGAAGAAGTGTTTGAATTGTGTAGATTCTCCGTTGGGCAGGGTCTGGCTCTTCTGGGATCCGCTAGTGGAAGTTAGGATATTAAAACAGGGGAAAAACTTTGTGCATGCTATAGTGAAAGGAATTAGCAATGAATCTTTCTTTTTTACAGGTGTGTATGCAGCTAATGTCGAGGAGGACAGGATCAGAACCTATGATGAACTCAGGCAACTACGGGTAGCAGGTTATCCCTGGATAGTGGGAGGGGATTTCAACACAGTCAGGATACCAAGTGAGACTAGCAATCAACTGTCTTTCACTTCTAGTATGACAGCTTTTAATGACTGGATTGGAGATATGGAGCTCTTGGATTACAGAACAACGGGCCCCCAGTTCACATGGACAAACAGACAACAAAATAACCCTATTGCCCGTCGATTAGATAGAGCTTTGGTGAATTTAGAGTGGATAGAACAATTTCCTGATTGTGCCATGGAGGCCTTCCCTTCAGGCTTCTCTGATCATTGTGGTATTCAAGCTTGCACAGCTGTGCCAATCAAAACTCTCCCCAAACCATTCAAATAATTTGAATTCTGGGCTGAGCACCCTCTTTTCCTGGAAACTGTAGAGAAAGCTTGGAGGAAAGAGTTTACAGGGTCCCCACTGCAAGTTGTTCAGAGGAAGTTGCAAGAAGTAAAGAAGGTTCTGAAGCAGTTCAATAAAGAGGTGTATGGTGATTTGCAAGGTCAGGTAAAAGCATCAGAAGATTTGCTCAGGAAGGCACAACTGTTAGCATTTTCAGATCCTTCCTCGGTTCATTTTGCATAAGTCAATAAGGTGCAAGCTGAGTGTACAAAGCTTCAGGTGGCTTATGAGAGCTTCTGTTGGCAGAAGTCGAGGGTCTCTTGGATGCAGCTTGGTGATAAAAGCTCTGGTTTCTTTCACCAGGCAGTAAAAATCAGAACTTCAAAAAGAGCAATTCGAAAGCTGATTTCTGCAACAGGGGAAGAGTTGGTTCAGTCTGATCAGATAGTGGAGGAGGCTATAGGTTATTATAAGAAACTTTTGGGTGAAGCTAATCCTGATATCAATCCTAGCAGAGAGGATATTGAAGGTATGGTAAGACACACTATCTCCACTGAGGGGAGGGATCTTCTTGTGCAACTTGTCACTGCTGATGAAATCAGGCGAGTTGTTTTTGGTATGAATCCTCAGAAGGCCCCCGGGCCAGATGGATTTTCTGATGGCTTTTATAAGAAAACATGGCACATTATTGAAGAGGATGTCACAAGGGGGATTCTTGACTTCTTCCATCAAGGTAAGCTTCCAAGTGGAGTGAATTCCACAGCTGTTTCTCTCATTCCTAAGATCCCAACTGCTGATACCCTTAAGAATTTTAGACCTATATCTTGTGTGAATCTCTTATACAAAATTGTGGCTAAAATTCTATCCAATAGACTTAAGGAAGTTTTACCAACTATTATCAATCCCTCTCAGTCAGCTTTCATTAAGGATAGAAGTATAATGGACAATATATTGCTAGCACAGGAGCTTGTCAGTGGATATCATAGGCAGGGGCTTTCCTCTAGATGTGCTATCAAAATTGATATAATAAAAGCATTCGATTCTGTAAATTGGAACTATCTTTTCCTTATGATGAGTGTTATGGGGTTTCCTGAGCAGTTCTTGAAGTGGATTAAGTGTTGCATTCAAACTGCACACTATAGTATTAACATAAATGGGGGGTTGTGTGGCTATTTTCGAGCTAGGAAGGGGGTTAGGCAGGGAGACCCCTTATCGCCATATCTATTTACAATAGCTATGGAGGGGCTCTCTACCATGTTGATGAAAGCAAGTCAAGAGAATAGAGTCCCCTACCATCCACAGTGTAAGAGAGTGCAGTTGAACCATATGTGCTTTGCAGATGACATTATTGTATTTACAGAGGGTTCAGCTCAGGCCATTCTTCAAGTTAAGCATGTGCTCCAACAATTTTATGAGATCTCTGGACTTCAATGTAATCCTTCCAAGTGCGAGGTTTGCTTTGGAGGTGACTCCGTTCAGTATAAGTCTGTTGCTCTTCAGCTTTCAGGCTTCCAAGAGGGTAAGCTTCCTGTTAGGTACCTTGGGCTGCCTTTGATCACTGGGAAGCTATCCTCAACTGAAGTGGCCATGTTGGTTGAAAATTTTACAAAAAGGATTAAATCCTGGCGTGTTAAAAAGCTCTCTTTTGCAGGGAGATTGCAGCTATTGAATTCTGTTCTGATGGGGATAGTACAGTTTTGGATGCAGTTATTTGTTCTTCCTAAAAAGGTTTTGAAACAAGTACAGAAAGTCTGTTCTCAGTTTTTATGGCATGGTAGTGAAGAGGGTAGAGCCAAAGTAGCCTGGGAAAAGCTAGTCTATCCAAAGAAAGAAGGGGGGTTGGGGATAAAGGATCTCCAGGCCTGGAACATAGCTAGCTCTGCTAGGATGTTGTGGCTGTTTCTCATAAAGTCAGGGACTCTTTGGGTTGCATGGATGTACGAGTCTAAATGCAAGCAGTTAGATTTATGGTTGATGAAGCCACAATACAGCAGCTCCTGGACATGGAGGAGGCTGCTCAAAATCAGGGATCAGATCAGGCCATGGATACAGCAGAGAAATGGTGAGGTTTACTGGGGAATGAAACTAATGAAGGTGTACTCTGTTCGATTAGTCTGGGATTCCTTGCGTGCCAAGCAGCCAGAGGTACCGTGGTTTAAGCTCGTCAAGAATTGGTTCTGTCCTCCTCGCTATAGCTTCATTGCTTGGCTTATTATAAGAAATGCAATAGTGACGAGGGACAAACTTCTGAGGTGGAGGAAGATAACTATTGCCTCTTGCCCATTGTGCACTTTCCCGATGGAAACGAGAGAGCACCTGTTTATGCATTGCTCTTTTGCTCATCTGCTTGTCTTGAATTTGCACTGTCGATTGTTTAAAGCAGGAGGCTGGGACTCAATGATGGCTGCTGTCTTCTCTTTGGTTCAGCCCTCAGGGAAATTGCGATGGCATGGGGTTGTGTGGTGTATGGGGTCGACGTGCATTTGGCTTGAGCGTTGCAGAGTTGTACATGGTTGTGCTCTGCCAGACCCATAAAAGGTTGCTACCCAGCTGCAAGCGGATCTGCGATACCTGGTGGCTGGGAATGCCATGATGCAGGGGGATCTTGAGAGTTTGGGATATCTTTGATTTTTCTTTGCTTGTTGCTTGTTTTTGAGTAGCTGAGTGAGCAGTTACAGGTTGAGTAGGAGTGAGCAGGGTTTTTGACATTACTCAAAGCGTTACTGCTTTGCCTCGTTGTATTGGTTTTTCTTTTCATATTAATAAAGAGGGGAACTGATTCAATGGAAAAAAAAATTATAACAACAACAAAAATTTGGTAAAATGAGTACATACTTTTTTTTATAGTAATCATAATAAATACCTTCGTCTTGGCACCAATCATCCATTTTTTTCAATAAGTCGGACAGAGATTCGACGGGTTTTGAAAGAAAAACCAATAAAATGTTTTTTTATGGCAGTCCGGACTTAGCCACAACCAACATACCACTATTTCCTAGGTTTTTAGGGGAGAGATGGGGATGGATAGACAGATAATCTTAGAGAGAGAGTGAAGAATGAGTTTTGGTGTGAAAAAATGGAGAGGGGGAGGGGGTTTATATAGGCTAGTTTTGTAATTTTCCCCATACGAAAATCGCTCTCCAAGCCAACGGTTTGCGTTTTCCTAGGCAAGAAACCACCCCCTTGACCTCCGGTTTTCGATCCTTGATGCGGATCGGTGACATGGCACGCGGTCCACCGTTGGATCGCTCCCTAATTCGACGGTTCTGAAGACCGCCGCTTCTAGGGATGGCAATGGGTCAGGTTTTGCCAAACCCAAACCCATGGGTTTATTCGTGAAAAAAACCCGGGGTAAAACCCACTGGGTTTGAAAAACTCAAACCCAACCCAACCCGCTGGGTATCCGTGGGTTCATGGGTACCCACGGGTTTTTGTCGTAAAAAATTTACAATAACAAGTTCCTATCAAAATCAAAGTCAAATATCAATCTCTCAATACAAATTACCCATATATAAAACACCATTCTAGAAATTCAAGCAAATCACCAATATACTATACAAATTGTTCAACACCAATCTAGAAAACTCAATAAAATTGAAGCAAATCACAAATTATCCATAAATAACATGATTAATTGAAAGCTTCTTCCTTTCAATTAAGTTTCTTCATTCTCCACTCGATGACATCAACTTCATTCTACACAATTAGAAAGAAAAAATTAGACATGTCTCCACAAACATAAATAAGATTAGTTGTTTATAATATTAGATATACCGAGAAAATTAACTATATGGGTGTGGGCGGGTATTCATGGGTCGGGTTTACCTAAACCCTAACCCAACCCAACCCAGTGAATAGTGAATGAGTTTAAACCCAAACCCGGTCCAAAACCCGTCAACACGGATTTTACCCGTGTTGACCGGGTTGGGTCGGGTGGGTACCCGTGGGTTTGGGTTTTGTTGTCATCCCTAGCCGCTTCCCTATTCGCTTCCATGGCTGCCCTAGCAGAAACTGTCCCTTCCCTAGGCGGTTCCTCTGTAAACCGCACGTTGATGGTGCGGTTTTTAACGTATGGTGGTGTTTTTGTAATTTGTGTGGGTTGAGTAGTATTTTTGTAATTTTTTAAATAGTGGTATTTCTGGAAAAAATCTAAATTATTGGAATGAACCGTGCTTCATATTTTGCGTTGATTGGTAAATTGAACGATTAATTTGATGTCGATTTATTGCAAATTTATCATCAATTTCATGCATTTAAATGGTTGACTAGTTTATTACAATATGTTTTCAGACAATTATTAACAGTAGTTATTAATTAATTGTTTTAAGATCTTATATATAAATAGGTCACATTGAAACTTTAAAATTAGAATAATGTTTTTGAGTGAAAATGAGATGGAGCGACCATTTTGTTATAACATCATCATTTATCCAACTCATTTTGTTAAATAAATGATTTTTTGGGATTAATTTGCTTACGCCCCTTAGTTGAATGACCATTTTTGTATTTAATCCCATAAACCCCTAATCCGCCGTTCAGGGATTCCGAATCAGCATAAGCCGAGGCGTGCCGCTCGTCTATCTCGCCCTCAGCCTCGCCACTTCAGTCTTCTCCCCCGCAGTTCGACACGCTCCTCCGTCGCCTGCAATAGTTGTAGCCGTCGTTCATCGTAACCCTGAGTTCAAGGTAAATTGGATTCCAGATTCCCCTATCTCCCTTCGATGGGGTTTGATTTTTGGTTTTCCCTTGCTTTGAATGATTCCAGAGTCGGCGGGCATTCATATGGTGTGATGTTTTTCTGCACCGATATTGTGAATTGGTGATTCTATGATTTGATCATGTTGTATCTAGTTAATAGTTCTGCAGCTCTTATATGGTGAAGTTCATTGTGTAGTGCGTGGGGGGGTTGCAAAATGAATTTGCTTACTTATCTGATTTCAGCTTTCAAGAAAGTTTGGAGACCCATTTCTGCTATTATAATGATAAAAAAGTTTATCCCTTTTACCCCATTGGTTAGATTATGGAGCCTGTATTTGATCTAGACAGAGCTTTTAGATGAGTTGAGATTTGTATCTGGTTTTTAATCGCTTTATCTGTTCTGCTTTGAGCTGTGCTAGTAGTGAGTGAGTGTACGATGATTAGCGAAAAGACAGCTGTTTTTTTCCCCCAGACAAGGATCAAGTACCTTTGGCCAATTGAGTTAGGAGCTGCTTGGATTCTGCTCTGTTCACTTGATAACTCCCAATTTTTTTTTTCTTTTGGGTTGAACTTGAACCCTCAGCTTTGCTTTTTGTATTCTCTTAAAGTCAGAGCATTCAGCCGTGTATGTTAGTTACCTTTTGAGAGTTTAGCTCTAGGATAGTATCATTAACCGATTAAAGTCCATTTGAGGATTGAAGGAGCTAAACTTGGATAGTGGAACTAGACTTATATTTGGTTTTTGATGGGGGCAAATCGTCATAGTTTTTTGTTTGGCTTTTCTGGATTCAATCGGGAATGAATGATACACTTGCCTGCCATATCCAGGGTTCGGCAGTGACAGAGGAAGTTTATCTGTACTTTTTATTGTATCTGTAACTGCATTTGCTCCTTTTTAATGATCCTGTTGTCTTCTTTGTTTTTTAGGGGAAGTAATCTTCGTAGTCATTGGTTAGTGAAGCAGCAAGATGAGGAAGTTGAAATTTCATGAGAAAAAGCTTCTGAAGAAAGTAAACTTCTTAGAATGGAAGAGAGAAGGGAACCACAGGGAAGCCCAGGTAATGCAACGTTACCATGTTGTTGAGCGTGATGATTACAAGAAGTATGTACTCTCTCTCCCTCTCTTTCTATCTCTCGCTGTTCGTTCGCTCTTCAACTCGGTGCGTCTTAATTCTCTTTCCTTCTAACTATTTCGAGCCCCTGTGAAACACAAATCAGGTATTCGGGTTTGTGCCGAATGGTGCAGAAATTGGTGAATATCTTGAAACAGATGCATCCTAAAGACCCATATCGCATTGAAATGACTGATATGCTTCTGGAGAAGCTGTGAGTCCCCTTTTTCCTTTTGATTCAGCCTTCTGTTGATTTTCCCCGTTGGTGGGTATTTTCGTTTGCTGTTGACAATTACATGTTTGTTGCTATTATACTCATCTGACTAGAAATTAAGTCATCCAAACTAAGAAAACATTTATCCATGTGTATGTTGTCAGTCTTAATGTTTCCACTTAAACTTGATTGTTAGATAATAGATTCAATAGATGAAAATTTGATTCAGTGTCTCACCAATTGGAGTATACTTGATTGTTTCAATAGAGTCCTCTCTTTCGGCATATTTCTTTCTTGCGACTTTAAAGAGAACTGATCAACTTCATTATTGTGATAGTTTATATGTTAGCTCTAGTAAAGATGCTGAAATCGAATTTTTGGTGCAAGTTAATAATGCTATTCTATACGAACGGTGAAGGAGGCTGTCTGATATTGGTTGAAACATTATGGTTCTGATGTTCTTACCTTGAATGTCAGGTATAACATGGGGGTTATACCAAGCAGGAAAAGCTTAGCCCTTTGTGACCGCTTGTCAGTCTCTTCCTTCTGCAGGTAAGGGCAAATTGTTTGCTCAACCATAATTTATATGCAGTCAACACATTTCGGTTTGTATTTTATGGAGAGATGCTATAATTTTCTACATATGTTCTGCTTTGTAGACGAAGGCTTGCAACTGTATTGGTGCGTGCAAAGTTTGCTGAACATTTGAAAGAAGCCGTGACATATATCGAGCAAGGACACGTTCGAGTAGGCCCGGAGACTGTGACTGACCCTGCATTCTTGGTTACAAGGAACATGGAGGACTTCATAACCTGGGTGGACACATCCAAGATAAGGAGGAAAGTGCTTCAGTACAACGATAAATTGGATGACTATGAGGCCATGAATTGATGTTTACCATGAGAATAGGTCAATTTTGCTGGGATTACTATAGGAAGTGCTCACTCTGTGTGCCCCCCTGTGCCAAGTCCTGTAACGACCTTAGGGTCCATAATTGGTTGTGGTGAATTCCAAACCTTAGTTGTAATGGTCAGGGTAAAGATTGGCATTGTCGTTCTTGCAAAACATGTTGGCAGAGTTATGCGTATTCTGGAATTTAGACTGATGGTGAAATTGTTGGGGCTCATGATGATCGATATACCTGGTTTCTGTTTGGGTTGACAGTACCAACTACCAAGTAACAAAGAAGGAAAACAAAAAGTTTAATATTTTTGTATGACCTGAACTTTGACCAAAATAAACATCCTGGTCAATCTTTTCGATCTATAACATCTTGTCCCGAACTATATACCAAAATAAACAATTTGGCCAAATCCGACTTGTGACCGTTAACTAGGACGGTCAAACGCGTTTACCGTTAGTCAACACGCCATGTCATTGCCAAGTAAGCATAAAATATTTAAAATAATTCACAATTTCCACACATTCCCTAATTTTAAATTATTATAAATTAAAAAAATCATCTAATACCTTAGTTAACCAAAAATAAAAAACGACAAAATTAAATATTTATCAGATCTTCTGACTTGGCAGTGACGTGGCGCGTTGACTAACAGTCAACGCGCGTTTGACCGTCCAAGTTAACGGTCAAACATCGGGTTTAGCCAAATTGTTTATTTTGGTGTATAGTTCGGGCTAGGATGTTATAGATCGAAAAGATTGGCCATGATGTTTATTTTGGTCAAAGTTCAGGCCATACGAAAATATTAACCCAAAACTAAACTATATGAGATCAATGACCGGACAATATTATATGCGGTTAGGCGATTCAAGCATAAGCTTGGTTTAGTACGGTCCGGTACGACCAAATTGTTGCACACCCCTGCTTCAGAGGTAACCGAAAGGCGTCAAAACTGGTTCCTCTGATTCAACCCATCAATCACATAATTGTTCTGGGTCTATTATCAACCGCTGAAAAAACTAACCAATTTGTTACCGGTAGCGGTTCTTCCGGTCAGACATATTGGCCGGTTCGGTTTAAACTTTAATAACAAATAAACAAGGGTTCTGCAGTCTGCTTGCTCTCTGTCCCTATCCCTTCAGAGTTCAGACTGCAAAAGTTCAGCAACCCGACCGCAAGTGTGCCTTTGGGAGCGGCAAACTGGTGTTTCCCAAGCTTTCGAACTTTTGCCTGAAGAGTAGTAATGTTTGGCTTGACTCGCGTTTCCCCAGCTGCCACCGCCGCCGCTGCCATTTCGACCACAGTGGCTGCTGCCGCCGGCGGTAACTCTGCCCACTGCAGCACTCCTTACGGCCTACTTCCCCAAAGAAAAACCATCGCCTCCATCATTTCGCCCTGTCAAGCGGTATCATCTTATGCCTTTTGTTTCGGGTTTGCTTTTTGTTCTCTGGGTATTCTTTCATGAATTATTATGAGTTTCGTGCAGGCGTCAAATTGCTCCCTTCAAGTTCCTTCCGCTTCTCTGCAATCGAAGTCCTTTGTGCTGAAAGCCATGAGCGAGTCTCAAACTGTTGCGGTGCCGAATAAGGAGGCCCAGTCTTCATATCCTTCTGGTACTACTCTCTACTCTTACCTTTGGTTTGCTTACTTATCAGAGTTGATGGTTTGCCTGGTGTTCCTTTTCCAAATCCCTTCATTTTGTGTCCTTGTTTCAGGCCAAAAGCAGGTTCTGATATCTTTATCGGATAAGAAAGACTTGGCTTTTCTTGGTAACGGGCTACAGAGTTTAGGGTAACTCTCTATTTCATTGCTGTCTCTACTTGTGTCATTATTCTTCAAGTTTCCATTTTTCTCCTCAAATGACAAGTTCAGGTTCTTGGGATTTGCAATTTCTGGTCCTCAGAGTATTTTGCATATATATGAGTGTTTTTTAAGGGGAAGCAGTTTATAATGCTTTAGGAGGTTGCGTCAGTTGAACATCCCTTGGTTGAATTGCAGGTACACAATTGTATCAACAGGAGGTACAGCTTCTGCTTTGGAAAGTGCTGGGGTGTCTGTAACTAAAGTGGAGAAGCTGACCCAATTCCCTGAAATGGTACCATTTCTTAATTTGCTTTCCTTGAATTATCAATGGGAATTGCTTGTAAATCCTATAACCAGAGTTATCCAATATGGAGGATGGGATTATGAAATTCGATGTCTCTGCTTGGGATGGGAAGCTATAAAACACGAGTCTATGTGAAATTGGCTTTTTATACCATTGATAAACACTGAAGTTCTCATGACTGGAATACATGAGATTGATGTGAAAGTTGCTTTTCTTGATGACTTCAATGAAATCTGATGAAAAAGAGCTCTTACATTCAAACAGCTTGATGGACGTGTGAAAACATTACACCCCAACATACATGGTGGTATTCTTGCTAGAAGGGATCAAAAACATCACATGGAAGATCTTAGTTCTCATGGAATTGGTGAGTTATGAGATGATGCTTTAGTCATAAACTCCTTCTCCTTTATCCACTTCGTGGCTTCCTTGCTTGGTTAGTATACAATAGGGTAATTACCTCTTAGAGTGACTATCTCATTCAGACGGCACTTCTGGCTTTGAGCTACAATTTTCTCGTTCATATGTTTGTCACTTCTTCGATAGATGTTTTGTATGTTTTACTATCATTGTGTCAGCAACCTTTACTTGGTTGTACGTTCAGCCGAAATATTATTTATCTTAGCAATATTCCAGCATAGTATCATTAGCAAGTTCATATATCTATTCTGCTTTCTGCCATAGTTTATTGAGGGATGAGATATCTTTGGTGTGAGAACTGTCCTTTTCGATGGTTAGACACTCCATTTGCTCAGCATTGAACATGCATTCATTAGTGTTCTGACTTGTATATATAGATCGTTCTGAAGTTAACTTAGGTATGCGATCTAAAAATAATATGATAGCTGTGGGGCTATTAGCTAGACTTGCAGCTAGCAGCATGGGCATGGCCAAGCACAAATGATTTGGCATGTACGTGTAGTCTGTTCAGTGATAGAATATTTTTTATATTTTGCTAAACTTACTCCTCCGCAGGTACTTTTGATATTGTGGTGGTGAACTTATACCCATTCTATGATAAAGTTACTGCAACTGGAGGAATCAAATTTGAGGATGGAATTGAGAACATTGATATTGGTGGCCCTGCTATGATACGAGCAGCTGCTAAGGTAATCCTACTAATTCATGTGAAATATAATATAATTATATTATATTTCATTATTGGCTAGCCAAAATAAAGGACTATAAAGTTGTATGTCTCTTAACTTAAATGTGGTTGATGGTAAACAGAATCATAAAGATGTCTTGGTCGTCGTAGACTCAGAAGACTATCCTGAACTGCTTGAGTTTCTCAAGACAAGCCAAGATGATCAACAATTCCGTAGAAAGCTTGCCTGGAAGGCCTTCCAACACGTTGCTTCTTATGATTCTGCAGTTTCTGAGTGGCTTTGGAAGCAAACTAATGGAGGTATTTGTTCATCTGCTGTATTCAGTAATTTATCTTCCAAGCATATCTACCTCTTAATAGCCGGTTTTGATTGCTGAGATCCAGAATTATGTCAGAATGGAATAAATCAATAATATTGTTGCCCGGACAACTAATTGTCTCGTGAACTGCTTAATATGACTGAGAGAATTTGGGATTTTGCTGGAACAGATAATGAAAGTTGTATCAAGTGATGTTTGGGAAACTTCTTATGCAATTGCATTTGCTATATAACTTGTTTAACTGTTACATCAGCTCTTGGTTTTAATATATCTTAATCAGTTTTTTTCCTCTTATATCAGAAGATAAATTTCCACACAGTTTCACAGTTCCCCTGTCACTTAAGAGCTCTCTCCGATATGGTGAAAACCCACACCAGAAGGCTGCATTTTATGTTGACAAGAGTATTTCAGAGGTCAAGGCCGGTGGCATTGCAACTGCTATTCAACACCATGGCAAGGTGATGAATTGTGCATTATTGTGTTTGTTAACATCTTTTTAATCAAACATTCACTTGATCTTCCTAAAGAGTTAATCCTAGCTTTGTTATACTCTTTCACTACGTTGTTAAAACTATATTAATTAACTATAACATGAAGTGAAATGGACCTCTTTCGTGAAGAAAGAGCTCTCAGCATCCCTCACATAGCAGCTTCTTTTGGTATGCAGGAAATGTCATACAACAACTATTTAGATGCAGATGCAGCTTGGAATTGTGTTTCTGAGTTTCAGAGCCCTACATGCGTTGTTGTAAAGCACACAAATCCTTGTGGGGTGGCTTCTCGTAGTGACATCCTGGAAGCATACAGGCTCGCTGTAAAGGCAGATCCAGTTAGTGCATTTGGTGGTATTGTTGCTTTCAACACTGAAGTGGATGAGGTAAGTTGCATGAATGTCAAGTTAAAGACCTAGCCGTTGTGTTACTTCTCTTTATCTTTAATTCAGATTATATTACAAAGTCCCTTTTTATCCACATCATGTAAGTATGCAACCTACCTTAGTGGTGGTTTAACTGAGAAAAAAGATAAATGTCCTTGCCTCTGTTCTATTTTATAGTCTCTTGCTAGGGAAATCAGGGAGTTTAGAAGCCCTACCGATGGCGAGACAAGAATGTTCTATGAGATAGTGGTGGCTCCAAAGTATACAGAAAAGGGGCTTGAGACCCTTCGTGGGAAGTCAAAGACATTGAGGATCCTCGAGGCAAGAAAGAATGAGAAAGGGAAGCTTTCTCTAAGGCAGGTTGGCGGTGGGTGGTTGGCCCAAGAATCAGATGACTTGACCCCAGAAGATATCCAGTTTAAGGCCATGGCTGAGAAGGTAGCAGATGAAAGTGCACTTAGTGATGCAAAGTTTGCATGGCTTTGTGTGAAACATGTGAAGAGCAATGCAATTGTCATCGCAAAGGTACGGCTGAAGGTTTTCTTAGAACTCAGGGAAGCCAACTGTTGGACAATGCAAAAAGCTGCTTCTCTTCCATTTGAGCTCTATTTATGATTTACCCCTTTGAGCAGGATAACTGCATGCTAGGCATGGGAAGTGGGCAGCCGAATCGTGTGGAAAGCTTGAGAATTGCAATGAGAAAGGCAGGAGATGAGGTGAAAGGAGCTGCATTGGCTAGTGATGCCTTCTTCCCATTCGGTAAGGATTTGGATATATATCACTATATATGTTTCTGGACTGCATTGCGACTTGGATCTCAGTGTTGCCCACCATCTATAATTCTAATTTGTGGAATGCATTGTGCTCCTACATCTTATAGCCTGGAATGATGCTGTGGAAGAAGCATGCCAAGCTGGAATTGGTGTTATAGCAGAGCCAGGTGGTAGCATCAGAGATCAGGATGCCATTGACTGCTGCAACAAGTATGGAGTTACGTTACTGTTTACCAACGTTAGGCATTTTAGGCACTGAAGAGTCCTTTTGAGTTCCGACTCTTGATCAGCCCAGTCATTGGCCTTGCATCACTGTCCAAATTTGTTTGGCTCTCAATGTTGCGTAGAGTTGTGTACTTTACACTTGGGAGTATTTAGAAACGTGTAGTTGGTGAGAGAATGCTGGTTTTTCATTTTCTGTAGGACGAGAGCAAGTAAGTTTAAATTTTCAAAGGGACTTTGACATGGTTCAAACATAGATTTAGGAGTATTTTCCTTTTGTTCTGCAATAAACCATCCATAAATGACGAACACTGATTCCAGCCTGTACAAAACTAGTAAGAGAAAGGTTCGTTATTTTCAGCAGTCCGCTTCTCTCACTTATCCCGCCAACCTGATTCGTGATTGTGGTATACGAGAGCTGTTCATAAGATTTTTTTTTATGAACGTAAGATGCTTGCAAGATGTTACTTAGTAAGGATTTCAGGTATCACGGACACAGGGCTCTGTAAGTATGAGAACAATTCAAAATCTATCAAATTATGAATGTAACTTTACAATTATATGGGTTCTCCAGAGAGCGCAATTTTCTATCCAGAACTCCCGTTTTCTTGGCCTGTCAACAATTTGCTCCTGTCTATAATGCACGATAACATATATATACTTGCAAGGTGTTCCAACAAACATGTACCAGAGTCAAAGATCCAACTTGGTTCCTGCATGTGAGGGGGTGGTTAATTCATGGTTCCGTGAACTAGTTCAAACGACAGAAACAGAAGGAAGCTATGGCGTGTTCTTGCGAATTGAGTTACTCCAACAATGGCTTTGTGAGTGATCCTGAATGTGTATGGAGCTTCATTGTCAATGTCACACCAACTCCCACAAGTGAACTAACAGCCGGAACCAGACCTAGACCATATCTTGTTACTGAAACATAACCTGAAGAAGATAGGCCATCCTCTACTGCTGGGGCTACTGGTGAGGCCCCGCCTGCAAATGTAGTTCATTTGATTGGGCTTAATGACAAACCAGAACTATATAGCAAGTAAAAGAAAAATGAAGCCCTCGTGCAAGGTCTACGACTAAGGGATCTTATTTGCATGTGAACTACTGAAAACAGCATCCTGAATGGAACCTTGCAAGTGAAGATAACTTACTTTGAAATGATTGAAGAATATAAAGTGCAATCCCACAAGAAATCTTGTCAAGGAAGCTCAGGGATCCGTAAACGAAAGCACAGCCGTTGAGATCCGAACCAACCAGGACACTCTGCATGCTTACTGCCGTTACCTGCAGAATTCAGTTTCATCATCATAATTAGAAATCAATGAAAGGGACAGCATGATCTACAACAATAACCCTGCAGTATATTCTGCACAAACTTTTATGTGCACTTATTGATTGGAAAGGATGTCACGTACCATCATCAGAGCATTAGCTACGCCAATGAATGCCGATATGACGTACATGAAAACTTTCATGCTGGAAGGTAAAAGAATGATGCTTGCACCACAAAAGACCCAAAGGATTCCACCGACGGAAAAGTAAGCTTTCAGGCGTCGGCCAGTCCATGATACTTCCTACAGTTATGAGAATCAGAGAATTCATTAAAGGGCCACAAATTTATTGAAAAGAGAACAAAAGATTATTTATGGTTGTCTAGACAACCTGCATCATGATAGAGACTACAAAGCTGCTGATATAGAGGATTGCAGGAACCTGATTTCCATAAAATCGTCATAGTATTAGCATCAACATCAATTTAAGGAAATAAGCACAAGGTGGAAAACAGCAGCCAACAAGGTCAGTGGGCATACCAAAGCTTTAGCTGACTGGGCCATGCGCAAATCTTGAATAACATAAAAAGCAAGGTACGCCTAAAAGAAACCAAAGAATCAAGCTGTAAAACTACATGATCAAATACCAATCGGAAACGACTGACACTTTATTCTTAGACTTAATAGTGCCGATGATCTATCCAGAGCAGGCATAATTCACATGATGGTAAATATCACAATGAACTTTCAGCTTTCTGCAGTTTTCCTATGTAACAGCAACTCAGCAAGTGTGCTTCAATAGGTATAAACTATAAAGATCAACACTCGTACAGATAAATTGCGTCACGTAAAAAGGAAAGGCATGCTAACCTGTGAAACATTTTGTACTAGTCTGGTGAGTACATATACAATGGCAACTTGATAGTATAAAGCTTTCTTGAACCAATACGCCCATGGTATCCTCATATGGTCATTCCCATGAATGCTCATCTTCAACCTATATTATGCCGGTGGATCTTTTAATCAGGAGGGACAGATAAACTATGTATTCAATGGAAAAAATTAAGAAGCTACAATAGCTGATAACGAATTTATGAATGCAAGTACATTTTAGCTAAGAGATCTATGAGATACCTCGGTTCTTTGGTGCCGAAATGAAATATCCCAACGAAACAACAACCAAAGAAGATTGATGAATATGCAATCCATCGATACTGCTCATAAGAAAAAGAAATCAGAAAGAAACACCCATCAATCACGTACCTTGTGTGCTAACAATAACATTACAAAAACATAAATTGTGAAAAGCCAATACCTGATTCTGAATATCAGCATGGGATTTTCCGGTAATAACACTGAAGACTACCAAGGCAATTGCATAGAGGCTTAGATTTGCAACCTGGAAAGCATTGGAAAACAGAACACCACATAAATATCCCGATTAAGATTATCAAGTAAAGGAAGTAAAATGTCAATGGTGGAAGGAACAAAACCATTGTAAAAGCATTCCGGCAGCTTGTCAGGACTACTCTAGAGGTTGAATTTAGTGAGATGCAGTTGACCATGGACCTTACATCCAGACAAAACAAAAGAACAATTATTGTGTCAGCATCCTGCCATCCTTCCAAATTAATCCACATTGTATAACGGTTATTTTATATTAGTAACATAAAAGGAAAGTAATTTTCCACTGGTCTCTTTTTCTACTTGTCCCCAAACAAGAATGAATATGATATTAAGATTTCAGGAAATAGAGAAGACAACAGTAAGCTTTCCTAATTGAAAAAAAGTTGGATTTTAGCAACATGTAGAGGGAACTATGAAACAACCAAGAAAGAAATACCAGGAAGAAGCATTCTGGACTCAATAATATCAATTTCTTTGGAATATAAAATTATACTAACATACATATAACTAAAAATAAAGCAGTCAATGCACTGAAGCAACAAAGCATGGAGAACATTACATGTGTGAAACTTGAGCAGCAGCCCAACCCATATTAAAGATTGCAGCAGAAACACTGTATGAGGTGGTTTCCACCACTGAAGAACAGGTACTGAAGATTCGACAGGGTAAGCAACCTCCAAAAACAGAGGAAAATGAAACCGCAACCAAGACCGATCCGGCACCATGCCATACTTTGAAACGTCCAAACCTGTCTATCTATTAAACAGAAAACCAATTGGGAAAAAATATTTTCGGTTAGTGCTGATAAGAAAAAAGAAAAGGTAACAACATTGGAGATGTTTCAACAGCATTTGGATTCCCCAGGTTCATATAAATAATCAAGTATGAATCAGAGGCTCAAGTATATATTTCTGAGAAACTTCCATTTTAAAGTCACTGATCCACTGAAACTAGCAGCCAGGCATATTAGGTCGCATGAAGAAACGGCCAAATGTTAAGTTTATGTTTTTGCAGACAATAGTCCTAGTCACATTCAACGATTTCGGAACAGGTATTCCCTGGCTTGCTTAGCTTTAAGGTAAAGCAACCGCTTGCCAGGGGTCTCAACTTTCAACTGAAGTAGATGATAGATGAGAAAGATCAAATCAATTTGAGAAGTCTCATTTGGGTCATGAGAACCTTTAAGACTTTTCTCATAAGTTGCTGAGATATCTGCTCAAAGTCTTGAACGGCAGAGAAGTGGGAGTTGTAGAAGACAAACTTAAGCGAATACAAGGTTAATTGTACTTAATTCCATAAGAAATAAGCAAATTACCAAGGACACTAAACATAATGTCACTATCGAGAATCTATAGTTTCGATAAAGTTTTAATAGTACCAGTTCCCCGGTAAAAACGGTAGTAAACCCATCAGCTATCTGCCCTGAAAGCATGACTATTGCAGCATCTCTGCAAATAAGATGAATTGGATCCATCAGCTGACAGCAATCTGATAAGTGAAGTTTGAAGAATAACGATCCACAAAACTAAGACATTGTTCAGCCTTGCCTTCACCCTATCATGGCTTAAAAAAAAACAGAAAAGTAAATGAAAATAAAGTCACACCCCTTTCCCGACCATTCTTAATTCAGTTTGTGTCCATGTTTTAAATGAGTACAACCCTCTATCCTCTCACATTCTTGTGGGAAATTAACTAGTTTATGTCCACATGTATCCTCTAGAGGCCATAAATGTAGAGTTAACTTTGTTTCACCTAACCGTAACTCATCACTTCCGCTTTCAACACCATTTGCCAAATGAACATCAAGACACGAAGGGAAACAGCAGAGATTTTGAATTGCACATCACATGAACAAATCATCAGAGACATCTGGCGCCAAACCGACAGAAAGTCTAATAAACTAAACAAACCCTCCTGCAACTGGTTTCTATAATAAGGTGCATAGAGGAGGATGTCAATGTTGAGGTGATTTGTAGGAGAAACAACCCACAAACTCCCATTCTACCGCTAAATTTTGTTTGTCAATTTGTTATGAACATAGCTTACTCTGGACTAGTAGAAAGTACACAGGGAACTGGGAAGAAGAAAATTTACTAATTTCAGCTAACTGTGTAGTTACCAACTCCCATTCTATCAATGCTATGTGTCTAGAGAATATGGATACATTCTACCATTATCAGTTGCCTCAATCGGGTCATTCAGGGATCAAATCCCCACATAACGCAGTGGAAAAAAAACATTGTGTTCTATTGTAGTCGATGACTTGGAAAAGAGTTGGTTAAAATTAGAAGTTTTTACCTTGGGGAGAGTCCGATGTCTGCCAAGAACAGTAAGAGGTAAGTAAACCAGCATGAAGAAGTGATATCATTAAGCATGTGACCGACCCCATAATAGAAAACAGGCCATCTCCCCACATCAGATTTAACACGTGAGAGATCCTCTTCGTCCCCAATCTCATTATCACCCATTTGGTCCACCAGTACAATGGCGCAGCTTTCTTATGTATGGCCTACAGCCTGCAACCACAGAACACAAACATAAATACACAGGGTTATTTAAAACCAGGTAGAATTTAAACTCCGATTACATTCAAATCACATTGAAAATGATGGCTGTAGTTGTACTACAGCTTCCTGGTCCACAAAAGAGAAGAAGAAGAGAGCAATGAAGGACCAGAGAGAAACTAATGAACACAAAGTCTGTATGTGGCGGATGAACTTACTCACCAGGCTATTTAAGTGGGTACAAAACTGGAAAAAGATTGCAACTTTCTTTCTATAGTTAGCTTGATGATTAGTTTATACCCTAGAACAAAGATTCCCAGCAAGATTCAGGTAGATTCCCTCGCGCCCACAGTCCCTGATCCCTAACTAATAAAATAACAAATCCCAAATTATTGTTGTAACCATCATCCTATCATGACAGCGACAGCAATTAATCATTTCACTAACCCAAAAAAAAAAAAAAAAGCAAGTCATCATTTCTTCTCACGAGAAGAGTAAGCGACGAGGAGAATGGGGAAACTCCATGCACAGCAGAAAAAGGAAATTGAAGTCTGCTCAAAGAAAATCAACGAACGAAATCGAAACAAGCAAAGAGGAAATGGAACAGGGGAAGCAAATTCAGCGGAAATTTTACTATTTCAGGGGAAGCTTCTGAGAGAGGGAAAGAGACGCAAAGGACCCACGAGCCCAAAATCAAGAAGGGTCGAAACTCGAAACCCAACCTAACAGTCTAACTCAAAAGTTGAAGCCTTTTCGGCAGACAGAGACTCGCCGATCAATTTTCAGTGAAGTAGTTGGGAATTCTGATCGAGGAAAACTTGCCTCGGGTGGACTAGCACTTTTGTTCTCCGAACCCCGATGTAACTGGTAACGGCAGAGAAAGAAAGGGCGGGCGGAAATGGAATCAATGGCGGGACCTGACAACCCTCCACCGCCACGCCACCCAAGTGGTGGAGAAAAAGGGGCGGTCGTCTTTCTGACCGCAAAATCTGACGCTATTACTACACCTATTATCCTTTGTTGTACATATTCATACTGTGAATTCAATTCTTTGAAGAGTCTTGTTGACACGGGAGCAATTCGGTTGCATGCAACAAATCAGTGGCTGATCCTTGACTTTCTTTCCCTTATCTCCAATCTGAATCTTTTTCGTCCATTTCCTCTTCCCAATTTTTTTATTCGGGGTGGGAAAACGTTAGCTGGTAGAGTGTGGGAGGCGATCTCTTCTTTCCTTTGTCAGTGGCGGTGATCTGTCAGCGAAGATTAGAAGCGGACGAAATTAGGAATTCTGAAACTGGAGAACAGAGTTCACCCATTCCATTCCCATTTCCCAGCATGGCCCATGGGCTCCAGACGCCAGATAAGATCAATGTTGTCATTGCTGGGTCTGGATTCGGTTATCGACCCAGGTCTCATAACTTCTACGTTCCAACCAAATCGATTGGATTAGAGTCGACATAAGATATCAACCCTTATTAAAATTAAGAAATTTGATAAATGTAGACATTGGCAAATATATTCTAAAATGTATTGTTGTTTAACTTAAATACGCGCCATTTCCATGAACCAGTACACCACATATACAAAGAAGGATTTTCCTAATGCGGTACTCCATAACCATATATAACAGAGGACGTGTAGATTTTGAAGGGCACCCTCCAGTGGTGGAACCAAAAATCCGAGTGTTCGGGGATTAAAAATTTATGCACAAAGAATTTGAACAAGCAAGGGTGACTAACGACTTACCAACTACTATATTTTTTCAATTTATTAAACAATTTACATGTAGTTTTACATGATTTTAAGAGTCAAAAGGGGACTATATAACCTCACCTCCCCTCCCCTCCCACTAAGTAGCTCTGCTCCGCCACTGGGCTCATCCATGCCTTCCAGGTGCCGATTTGCTTCCCACAACCTCCCCTGTAATTTAATCGATTAGTGACAGCAAATGATCATTTAGTGGCAAAAACGATCCTTGCATCGGTAGCTCGACACTCGGTCGACTACCGCTATTTGCTTTTCAATTCTCTGTAATTAACTGTCTATCTACTTTCTATCTATGGCAAAAAATAAAAATTTGATCAAGCCGCGAGAAGGGCAATTCTGAATAACAGAAAGAAAGATGATGAGGGCTGAACTGACCAGCCGTGAGAAGGGCTCGATGGGCAAAGGTAGGTTGAGTTCCCATAGTAACTAGTAAGCACCATCATCATCAAGCTTATCAATAGCAGACGACGGAGCAGAGTCTGGCTGATCTTCATAATTGCATCAGCATTCATGACTAGTGTTGCGATCCCAAGTGCATCACTTGAGCTTCATTATATCAAGGTCAAATTAGCTCATTTGCTTGCTTCCAATGTATATAATTTGGCTACCATTGAAGAGTTCATTGAATAGGTATCTTCCTAGCTATTTTCTAGTCAGTTTTTCTTTGTTTAAGTAGTTTAATTTCGTGTCTTTCTTTGCCTATAAAAAGGCCTTGTAACCGTGTAAAAGGATGGACATTATTGAAGAAAAAACCTTGTTTACACAGAGTGTGTGTTCAATGAGCATGAGTGCTTATTTTCGTTTGCTCTAGTTCTTGCGTGGTATTCCAAGTACTATTGTGAACAACCTTGTTTAGCTATTCTGTTGAAGAGTCCAGAATTCGCTTGACAAATCTCTTATCAATCGATTAATCACCTCGATTGTGGCAAGATTCTACCGATCCATCATCAATCATTCAACTGTTTCTTCGTTTGAGTTTAGCTGCGTCATTTGATAATAAAAAAAATCCAAGTTGCATCAACTATAATTAACTTTCCTTTGTCTGGGGAGACTGATGATCGACAATTATTCATCTCTCGATAGCTTAAATACTGACTTGTTTGCAGTAATTAATCAACTATGTAGCAAGGTGAGTGAGCGAGGCAGCGAGCTCCGACATTGACGAAGACTTTGGTGGTTGGTTGACGGGTTGTTCGATCATTAATTAGAGTACAATCTATTCCGATGAGGTGGTTAATTTTCTACTAATGGACATTTAGAGATCAATTAATTATATTTTTCGGTTGGGTTTTGGAAAAATCAACAGTACCCTCGCCAATCCGCGGGAAACATTTGCCTCGAAAGCCGAGGACAAATAGGAAAAAGGCAAACTGACTCCTAAATTTCCATAAAGTTACAAATTAGTCATCTAACTCCATATAATACTTATCAATCCAAGTTCATATAAGCCTTTTCTCCCAAGATAAGTTAAGAAGACGTAATATAAAGAGGTGAGACAACTATGATGAAACTCCGAGAAAGAAAATGACACGAAACATAAAAGGGTGTGATAAGAAGACGAATTTCGTCTGGAATGACCGTATGCCATCAAGTAATAGCTTTCTTTGACGGAGCATATATACAAACATAACGAATTGTGAGTGGCCACTACATATCATACAACAATCAATTGTGAGTCCATATAGGTTTAAGATTGAATCATTGTAGTAACAAATATATATGGAGGGCAATGTCCGTAGTACACAAGAAAAAAGGAAACATACATACGATCGGCCGATTTCCAGTCCATTTAATGTAATTATGATCACTAATATTCTCTGGCGGAAAAGAAGCGTAATCGTCTTCTAGCTGCAATATAATGATAACAATGCTTAAAACGTATTATACTGATGGATAGTAACAGAATAGCCCGGGATTTCCATCACCGCAGAAAATGAAGTTCATCCATGCTTTCCAGGTAACGATTTGCTTCGGACAGCCGCCCCTGACAATCAAACAATTGAAGAACACCATAGTTAGTATAATTAGAATAAAAGAATTAATTAGTATATTTGTTTATTTAGAATCATTAGCAGTATAATTTGGTTTGAGTCAATGTAGGATGGTAGTTAGGAGATCGCTATCAAGGGGTAAATAGCACAATTAGTGTTAGGGCTGATTATTAGGTGGATTGGATGGAGAGAGTGGAGTAAAATGAGTGTTAAATGGAGGAGGGGGTCACAGTTAAGGAAGGGGTAGGGGTAGGGGTGTGTAATGGTTTGATTCTTACCTGATTAAACTAATGTTTGGATGTAATTCGGTCCTTGGTTTCAGAAATTTTATAAATATGGATGAAAATTGGACCAAAACTCTTGATCATAAAATTTCTTTTACAATTGGAGGATAATTTTCATGGTTTAGTACGGACCGGACTGTTGCACAAGTCAAGAACTATAGTTAGTCTCAATAACTCGAGTGGTTGAGAGATGTTCAATTATGGATCTCATACCATTTACTAACACCCCTCAAACGAATGTCTACTCATATATGAGTTATGAGATTGAAGTTTACAGATGCATCAGGTATAGTTAGTCTCAATAACTCGAGTGGTTGAGGGATGTTCAATTATAGATCTCATATCATTTACTAACACCCCTCAAACGAATGTCTACTCATATATAATGTTGAAGTTTGCATATGCATGAGGTACCATATGTTTACCAATCAGGATTACCGAGATTTGAATACAAGACATCTCACTCAAAACAAACTTTAATAGTATGTCAAAAAGTAATTGGTAACAATAACTTGAATTAGTGAAAATGATTGAATAATAATTCTTAGTAGAGAGACGAGGGAGCTTATAACCTCGTTTGTCTTCACCAGGGGACAGCTGGAGCAGACCACGTTGGAGAAGTGGTCGGCGGGCAAAGGTAGGTTGAGTTCCCATACCGAGTATCAGAATCAGGCTCAGCAGCAGAAGACGGAGCAGAATCTTGTTGAAAATCTTCATCACAAAGGCGGTTGCAATATTCACGATTATTCAAATTCAACATATGGATAGGTCATCCCTCTCTGATCTCACTGGGGTTAAATAGCACTGAAATTGATTGCAATTACTACGAAGCTGCGAGCTTAATTATTAGTTAGGTATTGACGAAGTCATTTTGGGTGGTTAGTTGCTTTGCTCATTAGAGAAAATCTATTCCAGAAGAGGC